CTAAGTAAGTAGAAGTACTATATAGGTAAACTTTAGGTCTAAAAAGTAATATTAAATTATAGTACTATACTACTATAAAATATAAAATAAAATTTATATAAGTAAACTATAGTATAAAGAATAGTAGCTTAAAGAGAACTATAAAAAGCTTTATATATAAAGAATGCTTTTTTTCTTTATTTATTTTTTCGATCTAATAACTTTTTATTTTAAAAAACTTCTTATATCTCTAAAAGATCTAAATACTTTAACTAAATACTTAGCTAAATACTTAGCTAAATACTTAAGTATAACTTTTAAGTTTAATACTAATACTAATATTACTCTAAAGATATTAAGCCTTACTTTTTTTTTTATACTTACTATCTAAGTAGATACTTTTAACTTTTTAATACTTAGCCTAAGTAATAGTTACTTAGTACTACTAATAAGCTTAGTCTTCTATAAAGTTAGTATTACTAATAATAATATAAGTTTTAATACTTTATAGCTTAGAGTGTAGATATATAATAGTAACTTAGATAATATAGTAGTAATCTTTTATAATATTATTCTTCTAATAAAGTTTAATTTTAAAAATTAAGTACTATATAATTATTATTATATAGATATACTTTTTATTATAAAGCTATTTTAAATAAATTTACTATTTATATACTATACTATAAAAAAGAAAAAAAAATAAAGCTTCTATCTAAAAGAAATTTAGGTATTAAAGAATAGTAAATAGTATATATACTTATACTATAATAAAGCTAGTACTAGTACTTATAGTAGTAGAAAAGTATATATAGTATAAAGAACTTTATTTTTAAAGTTTACTTTAAAATTTAAAAATACTTAAAATTATCTAGAGATAATAAAATAAGCTAGAAATATTAGTATAGTAGTAACTAAACTAGTAAGCTAGAAAATAGTAGTTATAAATACTTTAGAATAATTTAAGTATTATTATAAAGTATAAAAAGTAGTAGTAAAAGTTAAAAACTTATTAGTATAGATAAAAAATAAGTAGATAGATAAATAAGTAAAAGTAAGTATAGATAATAAGTAGTAGTTATAAAATATAGTTAGAGTTATTAGACTAATTAAGAATTATATATAAAATATAAGTTACTAGTAATTATATAAGTATTATATAGATATTTTAAGTTAGTTTAGAGGCTTTATACTAGTATAAATAGACTTACTTAGTTTCTTTTTAGTATTAAGTAATTATATAAAGCTAGTACTAGTACTAGTTAATAGTCTAAATAGCTATTAGTAATATATAATAAATATAAAGTAGTTAGCGTATTATAATTACGCGTATAGTAAATATTATATTAATAGTAGTATAGGTATAAGTATTATAAGTTATAAATCTAGATTTATATAAGAAAATTATGTAAGTTTACTTTTAAGTCTAATATAGTAATATATTATTATATAATTATATAATTACGTAATTACTTAATTTTAAAAAGAGTACACTATAGGCTCTATCTCTTAGACCTAGAGAAGTAGAAAAAACTATATAGTTTATTTAACTATACTTAGGTCTTTATATCTATAGAATAGAAAAAGTTTAAATAGTTAACTTAGTAAAGATAACAATACTAAGTATTTCTAAAAACTTCTACTAAGATTATAGTTTACTTAAAATTTAAGAAAATTATAATACTCTTAATTAATATTATAGTTAAGACTAGAAAGTTTAAAAAGTACTTCTTTTAATTTACTTTAATACTTCTATATTATAAATTAAATAAACTTCTACTAATTCTTAATATAGTAATATTAATTAATTCTAAAACGCTTTTAAATTCTTACTAGAATTTAGATATAGAAATAATTCTTATACTAGTTATAGAAGTAAAGTAGAATATAAAGTATAGCTTTAATAATTAAAAAAAAAGATTACTAATAGAAAGATATAGTTATTTTTACCTATACTTATAATAATTCTATCTATTCTTAAAAAGAATAGTATACTAGATACTAAATAAATATAATATATAAAACGTTTATAGTAATTATATTTAGTATAGAAGTATAATAATAATAAGTAGATATATATACTATATACTAGTGCTATTAAGCTTTATACTATACTACTATAAGTTAATAGTCTAGACTAGTTAAGATATATAGATATAAACTTATTAAATAGAATATTAAATATATACCTTTATTAGAATATATAGAGTAGATATATATATTTACTACTAGTAAAATATAATTAATAAAATAAATAGTTTAAGTATTTAGCTTTTTTTCTAGATTAGGTTTCTCTTCTCTAGAATATATAAGATATTCTAGAGTTATAGTTTTATTTGCTACGTGTATTAGATAAGAAGTAAGATTATTTAAAACTTATTATTTAAAATTAGTTTAGCTTTTTTAAGCTTATACTAGGTAATATTTTATTAATAGAAAATAGATAGTACTTTACTATATAGTAGAGAATTAAACTAAACTTATAAAATCTAACTTATAATTAAAATAAATAGAATATATACTAAATAAAAATAAAATATAACTACTTAGATAATTAGAGTTATAGAGATTTTAATATAAAATATAAGTTAGTTATTAAAATATTATCTAAGTCTTTTAACTTTATCTAAAAGCTTTATACTAGTACTAGACTTAGTAGATTAATTTCTAGAGATATAAAATTCTATAAAGTAAGTACTAGTACTTATCTTTAGTTTATATAGCTATAAGTAATATATAATAAACCTAAAGTAGTTAGTTTAATATAATAATATATATATAGTTCTTATTATTAAATAGAATAAGTATAGATATTATAAGCTATAAAACTAAATAGATCTTAAGATATTAAATCTAAGTATAAAGTCTAGTAAAGTAATATATATTCTAGTAAGTTTATTATTATAATTAATAATTACTAATTTAAAATTAAAACGTATACTAGAGAATCTACTTCTTAGGTCTAGAGAGATTCTTCTAGAATCTACTATAATCTATTACTATATATTATTTATAAAACTAATCTTCTATACTCTATTAATATTAATATAAGTATATAGTAAGTTTTAAACTATAGCTTTTATTAGATTAAATAGAATATAAGATAGTAATATATTTTTAAAAGAAAGATTTTAAAAGTATAAATAAGTATAGATCTTAGTAAATATACTTTAATCTATTACTTTATAATAAATATTAATAATATATTTACTTATATATTATTTATCTTAAAAGTAATTATTATACTTAGAAGTATTAAAGTCTTTTTATAGTTAATTAAGTTAGTTTAAAAAATATTAATAGATTCTTTAAAGTTTAACTAAAAGATATTAGTAAGCTTTAAATAATAGAGAAACAACTAACTAAACTAATAAACTTTGTTAGAGTTTTCTCTATATATACTATATAAGATATAGACTATTATTCTATATATTATAGTGTACTAGAAAGCTTTATTCTTACTTTAATTAGACTTCTAATAGAAAAGAGTAGTTAAAAAGAATAGAGGTAATTATAACGTAGTGCTAGTATAAATATCTATTTAGGTACAAGCGCAAAATGTGTTTAGTGTAGCTAGCAAATAGAGTGTAGAGTTAATGCTTACGCTTCTAATTAACGCAGAATGCTGTTAAATCTATATGTATGCATGCATGCTGCAGCATGTTTAGATATTAATTTTTAGCCTATCGCAGCCGTCTTACTAGCAGTAGCGAACTCTAACCTTAAACAGGACCTTCGGTACCCTTATCCTAGAACGCTACTTATTACTATTTACTTACTAGTCTTCTAACACAGAAGCGAGCGCATAGTCTTAGTGATTCTCGCTCAGCCTAGATTCTCTTCTACCTTAGTTCTGTCTTACTCTGCATACCTAAGTACCTAGGTAGTGAGCGTTGGGGTTCTAGTTTCCGATCTGAATGCAAAGAGGCATAGCGCAATGTCCGAGCACCATACCAACGGATACCCGAAACTCTTGCGATGTAACTTACAAGTCGCATCACTTGGCGATGAAGTGCGCACAGGTCCAAGACGTGAACTCAACACTAGGTACCGATCGCGGCTTGCCAGTCCATCCACAGCGTCGAGCATTACCGAAGATTCAAAGGAACACATGTTCCTTCTTCGAAAGATCGCGGATACCAATCTCGCCCTGTATGAGCTGGCCATACGAAAGCAATGCGTCCACGAAGCTACACGTAGCAGTGTTCTTGGAGAACAAAACCCCAACATTCATCGAGCATTAGCAAGGGCGATGCCAGAAGCTCAACATGCTTCTGCAGCTGATGAGTCTCCAGCTGTTCATCGTTGCGAAGTGAATGAAGAGCAATCTTCAGTGGCAGCAGATCAATCACATGAGTCTCAATGGCACAAGCCTTACGGAACGAAGCTCGCCGGCGTTGCGTTCCAGAACCCCTCAAACGATAGCCCATCGAACACGGATCTTCATAAGAATCATGTACCGACCGCGGATACTTCGCGAGACAATCTGGCAACTCTGCAAACTGATGAACTGGTCCAAGACAACGTCGATCCAGGCCTGCTATCCGAACAAGTCCCATTGAAGTTTCCCCTTCAAGAGGGCGACCATTTGACGGCAGACGAAATCAAGCGACACAGAGACTTGAAACACCGCTTCCTGGATAACCGTAGGTATTTCCGATATCTATCTTCTAGAAAGCGTTCTTATACTTGCAGATGCACGAGCAACGTCCCTCGACGAGTTCCACTTCAGCGATAATCGCTACATCATTCGCTTGTATCAAGAACGGGTGGATCACAATCGGCCTGCGCATCACGATCCAGTCAACTTCGACAACTTGGCGGTATTGTGCGACGAGGTCAGAGCATCGTCATGGCACTCTGTGTTTCGAGACTGGGACGCCGTCTTGACTTTCATGCCCTTGGTGCAAGAGATACTGCTGTGTTGCACTGGGGATCCAGAGCAAAGGCTTGACGCTTGTTGGGATCGTCGGCCACGTGGAACGTTTCTGGATTTCGGATGGACCCGAGAAAACAAAAATATGCCAGAAGCCTGGTCATTTTTTGCCTACTGCAAGCCAGAAGACTTTTTGACTTGCCTTGTTGAGATCATGGACACGACTGCAGAACTCGAATACCAGCTGGCCGGTAAATGGGTGTATCCAAGGTTTCAGCCATGGAAGCTTATCACGGTAGGCCAGGTTCTCCATGGCCTTTACCGGAAACGCATTCTGGTTGAGCCCCAGTCTCCAGACAAGATCAAGTATTTGGAACATGTTCTGTATATCCTCGCATCTACTGAGCTCCTCAACACCTTCTTCAAAAGCGAAAGAATGGATGTCCAAAAGCTCCAATCCAAGCTCACCTACGAGATATGGTCGCAGAGTCCTGTGTTGGAGACCGAACTTGATGACACGGACGACGTCGATCAAGTCCGATTTCTGCTATCACTACCTCTATCTGAGCTAGCAGCGCTAGCTTTACGCCCAGAGAACAGTCTGTTGCCCTATAATCCTTTCCGGCGAGGAAATGCAGAGGTTTTCAATCCAAGGCATCTTAGCCTGAATCTTCTAGTTGGCGTTGGAGGGTTGAAAGTGGAGTGGACCGAGTACCTACACGAGCACTTGACTCTCAACTCATCAACGTTGACTGTTTACATTTTCTGGTTTGCGTCACACGTCCGCCAGAACTCCATGTTCCAGTAAGTTGTTGTTGCCCCCCGAGTGTCTTCTTCTAATGTCGTCAGCATGTACTGTGATCTCTTCGATTGTGGACCTGATCACGCACGAGTTGGTTCTAGAACGTCACCAGTATCAATGCCGTATCGAAAGCAGATACTTAGGTCGTATTCATGGATCTTTCGTGAGCTGGCATTTAGCTCGTCACGCAGAGAGGCATACTACGACCTTCCGCTGCCCTGGTGGCTTGCTCCTCTGCAAAGCGTCCAGCAGCCGCAAGTACCAACAAACACTTCAGTCAAAAGCCTTCTTGCAAGGGTAGGCGAGGTCTTGAATGTCATGGCTATGTTGTCTTATTTCAAAAAGCCACGACCCCAGAGGCCGCACGGGACTACCTAGGTATCCGCTCGCTTCTCAAAGACAGCACTGGCAGAAAGTGCAAGCTACCTATCGACTGTCTTGTACAGTTGAGGCCTTTTGATAACGAACGTACAGAGATTGCGGAGGGTGGACGACCAAGTGAGTTGTACGCTGACGACTCGGACGACGAAGAAGAAAGCCTTGGCGTTACAGACCAAGTGTCGTACGAGTTATACCCGAACCTTGCTCCTCGTATCAAGACCTTGATTGAGCATTTAGAGAAGCAGAAGCCGAAAGGGTTCGTCGCTCTGTGGAAGGACCAGAGAGACTCCAGTACCTGGTACACGTTCTGGGCGGCGGTGATCTTTGGGGTCACGGCGTTGGTACTAGCCGCAGGGAGTTTAGCAGTGTCAGCTGCGCAGACTTGGGCGACATTCAGGGCGCTGGACATGCAGGGTCAAAGATAAGGCGTAGTCGTATCTCTAGTGTGCTACCATCTTCCTAAAGTTCGTAGACAGAAACTAAGCTTAACGCTGTAAAGTTCAGCGACAGCATAAGTTGCAAGTTGTTAGACTGTAACAGAATACTAACCCACGATGTTCAACAAATGTAGACTTATATAATAGTTGTTGTGAGGTAAGGCAGAAGAGATGTAAGAATTAATAGGCTAATCAACTATCTACAAGCGAACCTTGCAAGTCTTCGTCCTAGTGACAGACTTGTCGCTTTCACTCGTAGCGATGAGAGTCACTGTGGCTTCCTTTGAACAGTATCCCTGGCAGCCAACAGCAACATTAACTGTCTTCTGCTTACCTGCCTTGGCGTAAGCCAACGCGTTAGGAACAGCGACCTTCCACCCAGCGCCTTCGACCTCGGCCTTCAGACGGTAGATATCTGACCCAAGGTAGGCGGACAGATCCTGTGGATGAGGGTTCGTCGCAAGCGAGGCGGCTTTACCGGTGTTCTTCAGCTCGAAAGTGCAGTACAAGCCGTCCGCGGGGCTAGTAGAATTTCCGTTGCTGATAACCTTGCCAGATCCGAGCTCAATGCCATGTTGAGCGGACTTAGTAACGTTGGTCGCGGTTGATGCTGCGCCTACGGTGTAGTGCAATACCCCATTGTCATCAGTCATTTTCTCGAGGATGTACAGATGCAGGCCGTTCTCGTGATCGATGTGCTCGTACTCTGAGCCCGAGTTTGTACCGGCGTGGAACAGCGCATCGACTAGTTGCCTGTAGTCGCCAATGGTCCAGTATCTTGCGGTGCCGTTGGGGAGGAAGAAATCGATCTGGCGCGCATCCTGTGGGTTTGCATCAATCGTCCATTGGAACGGCTGCACGCGATCGCTGTCCTTGGTCTTGCTAATCATGACACCAGAATCTGGGCAGAAAGAGTCCGCACCAAGTCGCTGAACGACCTCAACATTGTAGTTGTTGTAGCCACGTCCGTCGCATAGAGCATCAAGGGACGCATTACATGGGGGCGCAAGGTCGCCGGCAGCGCCAAAGGAAATATTGAATCCCATAAGACTGTCCACCGGATCGACAGAGCGAGCGGTAATCTGCGCGATGACTGGACCAGAAGTGGCGAGACCTGAGCGAGAGATTTGCAAGATCGGAGTTGTATCAATGAGCCCAATCTGGTGCTTGTCGCGCATCGTGTGTAGAGATCCCATGGACGCACCCTGTACAGGAGGGATCTGCCAGCGCGTGTGGGGTCCTCCTGGACCATTGAAACTGCCTCGAGACAGCATGCTCCATGGGCCGGTGTATGTTCGTCGCGGAGGGTCGCTGAAGGGGTTGTTGTAGTTATCTCCGATACCGAGCAAATGCGATAGTTCGTGAGCAAACGTAGCCATGCCACTCGATTCTCCCTGGGTAGAAGAACCACCACCGGCGTTGGGCCATATCGTAGAGGCTGCAGCCCACGATGACCACTCAACGTAGCGTGTACTAGCCCAGTTTGGAAGCGAGGAGTTATCCGGTGGTCCAAACTCTTCGGGGACGTCTTCTCTAGAAAGGAACTTCATCTCACCAAACTCCTGCCATGTCGAGGATTCGTCTTGGCCGGCCGAGAGAATGAAGGCTAACTCGTACGCGTCTGCCGTCTCATTCCCAACATCGGCACGCCATGCTCCGAGCGCATCGGTCCTGAGATCAACCGAGCATGGCGGTCCCTCCGGGCAAGCGCCTTCATTAAAACCACCCTCTTCGTCGTCGATGCCATATTGGTAGCTTCGCGCCGGCATTCGATATGGACCGAACACGGTCAGGTCCACACCATACTTCCCGAATGAGTCGCCCATCCAATACTCGTGAAGCGTGTGGCCTTCGTTGAGCTCGCTGGGTACGTTGAGAAGATCGTGGTAGAATTTGGGCACATCCTCACGACTCAAGCCAGCGGCAAGTGGTTGCGGGTTACCGAAGATATCCGAGTTGGCCGGCAGCGTGACGACGAACGGAGAGTCCGGGTAATCTATGGTCACCAAGGCGATGTTGAAGTTCCGATCTCTGCCCTTGCGTGCTGGATCAGCCCAATTGGTCGTTGGTGGCGCAGCATAATCTGAACAAAGCATCAGTAACCATTTTCAGTTCGTGGTTATGCTCGGACGTACCATCCCAAGTCATGTTGTCTGGATTGACCCAGTCCTGGGGGTCGATGGGCGCGAACGGGTTCACAGGCGCGCTCTGGCGACGCACCACAGCAGCTGCCGCAAGCTCAAGCATCGTGCTCAAGATGACAGCCATTGAGGCGCGATGAGGGCTTCGGGTCGCCATCATTCACCACAAAGCTTTGTGAGGCAGATGTGTGAGCGACAGGAAGGGCGTGAGAAGCGGAGGTGAGAGGGACCCTTGAAGCATATTAATGAGTACACGGACCGGCATCATCAAGATTGAGTTACCTACCCATGATGCCGACTACGTAGGGCAAGACAGATATCACGGTAAAGTGCATATGCGGCTGCCTCTTCCAGCTAGGTCAGCCCGTTCCACCGTCTTGGCACGCGCGCACCTGCTGTTCCCAGTGTGCGAGGCTGGGGTGGACGATAACGGCGTCGCTTGGTCCTGCACTTTCGTCGATCTGATGGATAATTGCGTCCAATGCGACGGCTACTCACTTGACGTAAGCTTTGGTGGTGCCGTAAACCTTGGTACGCTGGCTGCGAAAGCTTGTCCGCACCGACCACGGCGATCCCTTCCGCCCCGCTCGAGACTTGCCGGAAAGCATCAATGGTTTTATCGTATCGCGGACGACGGATGATAGCACGGGTATAGCTCGGCCACTCGATTCTGAGATAACGGGCGCGCCAGATGTTGTGGTTGTTTTCTCATGCTGCGACGTCATGATGCAGATGCCTCTTTCTTCTTCGACATTCTTTCGTGCTTTGGCCGTAATACGGCTACATAGCGCGGTGCAACTCCAAGTCCGTCTCAATTATAAAGCTTCCGGCGCTTTGGTAATATACAGCTGACGTGAGACAATTGCAGCGCCGATATTGCAGATGCGGCTTCCTGTATGAGATGCGACTATGCGCATTGCTGCATTTTTCTCTGAAACGATGTGCAAGGTCAATATGGCTAGTGGCTGAGGAGATTGTGTCTTCGCCGCGTTCTGCACTGAATTTCGTGCAAAATGCCATATGATGACCGTCACTGCCTAGGTATGAGCACACACTCATATCGTCACTCAAATCTCGGAAGCAAACAGGGGTAGACTGATTGTGTACCATTTATGACTCGAGATCGTGTTCATATTGCTTTGGCAATCACTTCCATGTCCTTAATGAGACGTCCATGCTCCACTGTGGTCTGTCTCTCAGTCGTCCTCTCCTTAAGCCCCGACCTTTACAGTACCGTCACCCTTTCCCCCTCCACCGTCAACGTCATCTTTCTTCTCCTGCGCATCCTTGGCCTCGGCTTCGTGTCTTGGGCAGTTTGTTGTGAGAAAGACTGACTTCGTTCCCATTATCGTTTCTCGGCCGCCGGGGTTGTTCTCGCAGCCGTTCGAACCTTTTGGAGGGGAGCTGCTGACCCCCTCACAGTTCATATACACACGACCGTAACCTTCCGGATTTTCAGGAGTGGATCCGTATTTGCATCCACATTTGTGGAAGTTTGTAACCCACCAACACATCCCGTAAAGGTGGCAGCTGAGTAGTATGTTGAGGTTTTGCTGTTTAACTGTGGAGGACTGTGGTAGCCGAGATGTGAGAGGTAGGTTTGGAATTTGGATTGGTTTGTTTGCTTGCTCTTTGATGATGTATATAAGAGTGTGAAAGTCTGTGAAGAGGAGTTTTTATAGTCCTCCATGACGCATATAATAGCTAGTTGTGACTCTGGCCAGCACGATTGAGTCTGCATTGATGCCTTACCTCGCTCCTCTATGACTGGTTTGTCCTCATAAGTCCTTAGGTGTCATCAGGTCCTTCACTACACGTACCGCAATTTGGCCTACCTCTCATGATGTGCAACGATCAAGGTGGCACAACACCTGCATACAGTTAGCCCCACTCGAACATGACTGTTTTGAGGTGTTTAAGTAAAACGTGTATGCAGATGTGCCATTGCTATGTGTTACATCTTCACTAACGCAGCATGCCAGGCTTCCCTTGATTATCGATTGCGGCAAAAACAGGCGCTCGGTTCAACCCAGACGTCCCTTACCAC